GCGGCACCCAATCCTATGCCCGCGCGCTTCCTTCACCCGGCACCCCCGTGCCCATGGAGCGCGATCCTATAATGCGAGGCCAACCTAATTCCTCTGGGCCAGAGCTGGGCAGGAAGCGCAGCCTCATCCGCCCCGAGCGCCAGCGAAACGACCCAAGCCACCCGAACTATCACTACCGCAAACACGCCCAGCGCATGGACGTCCACCCCTCGACGACCGGCAACGACCCCATCCTCGAAGACCATCTGGAAGCTGAAACGGTCAGCTCAGACAGTACCGATGTCAAGCCCCCACACCTGCGAAATGCCTCAGGCGGAGGCTACAATGACAAGCAGGCTCCCTTGGACGACGGGGAGCCGCGGATACAACGCAAGCTGACACGGAGCGAGACAATGAAGGCGCGCGAGAAGCAGCGCCAGAAGGAGCAGGACAAGCTACGCCCACCTAGTCTGTGGAACGTCTACTGCGCCATCGTCACCTTCTGGTGCCCGAACGCTATCCTGAAGTGCTTTGGAAAGCCGCAGAAGGCGCAGCAGCGAGCCTGGAGAGAGAAGGTCGGACTCGTCAGCATCATCATGCTCATCTGCACGTTCGTTGGATACCTCACATTCGGTTTTACCGAAACCGTCTGCCCCTCTGGCGGCAACGCTCGTCTCAGGACGAACGAAGTCGGCGGTGGATACCTCATCATCCACGGCAAAGCCTATGATCTCGCCCAGTCCAAGCACCCCCGAGCCCGCGGCGTCCCCGAAGACGCAAACGTCCTGTTCGATCTTCCTGAGAAACACGGCGGTCAGGATGCCAGCTTCTTGTTCCAAAACGTCAACGGAGCCTGCAAGGGTCTCATCACCGAAAAGGAGAACTCTGGAATCCCCACAACCGGCAACGGAGACCTGGGTTGGTATTTCCCGTGCCGACTGTTCAACCAAGATGGATCGACCAAGCCCAACACCACCTTCTTGGAATACAACGGTTACCTCTGCCACACCTCGGACAAAGCTCGCAGGGGCTTCTACAGCCTCCACAATGCTGGTGATGTTTACTACACCTGGGAGGACATCCGCAACAGCTCCAGAAATCTGATGGTCTGGGGTGGTGATGTGCTTGACCTAAACTTGCTCGACTGGTTCAATCGAACCCAGGTCAACATCCCACCTCTCTTCGATGAAATCCGCCAGAACCCCGCTGTTCGCGGTGTCGATGTCACCCGTGCGTACTCGTCCAGCTACGAGAAGCAGGTAGCTCGTTGCTTCACCGAGACCATTAAAGTTGGCTCCATCGACACAGAGAGCATTGGCTGCATTGCTTCCAAGGTTGTTCTTTACGTCTCGCTCGTCTTCATCCTGGCTGTTGTCATGGCCAAGTTCGTCCTCGCTTTGATCTTCCAGTGGTTCATCAGCAAGAAGTTTGCTGCTACCAAGACATCTATTGGCCCCGCCGACTCCAAGCAGCGAAAGCAGCAGATCGAGGAATGGAGTGATGACATCTACCGCCCACCGCCAAAGCTCATGGACCCATCGTCCGGCTCTGACCGCAGCAACAAGCGTGGCAGTACCTTCTTGCCACAAACTTCGAGGTTCACCAGCCCCTACTCGGTTGACAAGACCGCAAAGACCCGTGCCCCGCCCACAACCATGACTAGCCAGAGCACAGCATCTCGTGTCCTCGGATCGAACGGTGGCATGTACAAGCAACTCAACGCCAGCCAGGGCACTATGCCCATGGATGGAAAACACAATGCGGTATTTACGGCACAGGAATCTCGATCTAGCCTACTCCTTTCCGGTAACACCGATACCAACCGTTACTCTAGCGTCGAAGGTTCCGGGCCCGCAGGTTTCACACACGAAGCAGTCGTGCCTCAGCCTCCTCCAGAGTGGCAGCCTTTCGGATACCCGTTGGCTCATACCATCTGTCTTGTCACCGCCTACTCTGAAGGTCCCGAAGGTCTGCGAACTACACTCGACTCCATTGCTACCACCGACTACCCCAACAGTCACAAGTTGATTCTCATCATTTGCGACGGTATGATCAAGGGTCACGGTGAAGACTTGACAACGCCAGAAGTCTGCCTTGGTATGATGAGGGATCACGCGGTATTGCCCCACGAGGTTCAAGCGCACTCGTACGTCGCAGTCGCCAGTGGCTCGAAACGACACAACATGGCCAAGATCTACTCGGGTTTCTATGACTATGGCGAGACGACGCGCATTCCCGTCGAGAAGCAGCAACGTGTTCCGGTGATGCTAGTGGTAAAGTGTGGTACACCTGATGAGGCCAAGAAGTCCAAGCCTGGCAATCGTGGAAAGCGAGACAGTCAGATCATCCTCATGTCGTTCCTGCAAAAGGTCATGTTTGACGAGCGTATGACGGAGCTTGAGTTTGAGATGTTCAACGGTATCTGGAAGATTACTGGCATATCGCCTGATTTCTATGAGATAGTCCTCATGGTGGACGCCGACACAAAGGTCTTCCCTGACAGCTTGACGCACATGATCTCAGCCATGGTAAAGGATCCAGATATCATGGGGCTCTGCGGCGAAACAAAGATTGCCAATAAGCGGGATTCGTGGGTCTCCATGATCCAGGTGTTTGAGTAAGTGCATTTGCCGTGTCTGACAATCGCGCCACTAATCGTACTAGATACTTCATCTCCCACCACTTGGCAAAGTCATTCGAGTCGGTCTTTGGTGGTGTCACTTGCTTGCCGGGTTGTTTCTGCATGTACCGCATCAAGGCTCCCAAGGGCGGTCAGAACTACTGGGTCCCGATCCTGGCTAACCCTGACGTCGTCGAGCACTATTCGGAGAACGTGGTCGATACGTTGCACAAGAAGAATCTGCTACTACTAGGTGAAGATCGTTATCTGTCGACGCTTATGCTCAAGACGTTCCCCAAGCGGAAACAGGTTTTTGTGCCGCAAGCCGTTTGCAAAACCACTGTACCGGACGAGTTCAAAGTCTTGCTGTCACAGCGCAGACGATGGATTAATAGCACGGTCCACAACCTGATGGAGCTTGTGCTAGTGCGAGATCTGTGTGGCACCTTCTGCTTCAGCATGCAGTTCGTTGTGTTCATCGAGTTGATCGGAACCCTGGTCCTCCCGGCCGCCATTGCCTTTACCTTCTACCTAAGTAAGCCCCCGTACCCCGTCTTGAAATTCTGGCTTTGCTGACCATGTCCAGTCGCTATCGCTATCAAAGCCGCCATCCTCCACACCGAAGCTCCTGTCATACCCCTCATCCTGCTAGCGCTCATTCTTGGTTTACCCGCGGTCCTCATCATCGTAACGGCTCATCGATGGTCTTACGTCGCCTGGATGTTCGTCTATCTGCTGTCACTGCCTGTTTGGAATTTTGTGCTTCCGACGTATGCCTTCTGGAAGTTTGACGACTTCAGCTGGGGAGACACTCGAAAGACGGCGGGCGAGAAGACGAAGAAGGCAGGACTGGAGTATGAGGGAGAGTTCGACAGCAGCAAGATCACGATGCGCAGGTGGCATGACTTTGAAGCAGGTAAGGAACACAACTTCTCGCGATAATGCAGTCACTGACGTTGGGCACCAACAGAACGAAGACTCAAGACACCAGCGGCGACATCGGCTGGCGGATGGCCACCGCAGCAACAGCAGCAGGGATACGATCAGTACTATGATAATTGATTTCGCAATGAGGCGTCGCGTAGGAGCAGACTGCATATGTACTACATGATTTGCTGCATTCCTGGGGTGTTCGTTTTAGCAGGCCATTTCTGTCATCGTTTATGAGATAGTGGAATTTCCACTTCGCCGTCGGGGTCACGTAGGCACCTCGCACTAGTAATACATTCTTACGGCATGTCGTCAGCTCTCGCGAGACACGGCATACCGATGCTGAAATACCACTTTGATGAATGACCTCGCATCAGTGTTCCTGTGCTGTTTTGCAGTCTCAAGATCCGCCCTGTGCGCCCAGCGCCCCCGCAGGGTGGTTCGAGTTTCGCTGGAGCGATCTGTGGCGTGCTGTCGTGGAGTGCCAGCACCGTTGTCCACAGGCAGAACGGCAAGGGGAGACAAAAACGGCGTTCGAGCCACAGTCTGGGGAGGCGCGGTGGGAACAGGCGTCTGATTTGCTCCACGAAATAGCCGTGCAACCGTGGGCCGGCGCTCAGCACGTCACCCAGAAGATGCGCTTAGCGAAGCTGGTGTGCTGTCTGTGTCCCAAAAGAGGCCTGACAAGAGCAGATGTGGACGTGGGTGTGTAATGGTGGGTGGCCACTGCATTTTCGTCGCGGGGCCTTGGCTCCAGAAGGTTGTCGTGTTGGCAGTGCCATGTGAGTTGTATCACGGTCCGTGGACACGCCGCAGCCGCTTAACCCTGAGCGCCTGGTGACAGCGTGGAGTCGAGCAGCGTGAATACACAGATCTAACGTCTGGAGATCTGAGAGATGGTGGAGTCGCTAGTCAGGCTTGGGGGTGGGCTGTCCGATCCCCCCGTGTTCAGACTAGAGGCCCGCGGAGGAGGGCTCGATGGGAATATTCGACGACGTGGAGCGTGGCATATATATCTGACGGCATTGGAGCTTCAGAAGCCGTCCCGACGCGCATAGCCATATTCATGACCGTCACCCTGCCCTGCCCTGCAGCCCAGCCCAACTCTCCCGCAGCCAATACCCGACTGTGACTTGCCAGAAGCAACCCCACAATTAGCCTGGACGTACCTCTGTCGCATGCAGCGCCTGGATAGCCAGGTCGAGCGCCGAACGCGACCCAGTCAGCCTGCGAAGCGAAGAGCCTAGCCAGTCAGCCCCTGGGCCCTGGACTTGACTGCTGCATTCTGCCTGAGCCTATGCTCTGGCCTAGTCGCCTCCCCCACGCCAGACAAGCCTATACCTTGCGCCCCAACGCCTCTCTACAACTACACCAGCCGACCATTTCGTCGCAGACGCAACTGCCCCAAGAACCTGCCTCGGCGGCCCCGCTGCACTGGCTATCAGGCGGATAGCGGGCGTCGATGGCCAGCATGCACAACTGGCCCGCGCCACACTCCACCACACATCCCACAACGCCGCCGCACGCCCACCCGCCCGCTGGAGACTGGCCGCACTCACCCAGCGCACTGGCTGCTGCTGTGACGCTAGCGACGCTCTCCGACAACAGACCGCCCGATGACGACGAGGACGACGGCGACGACGATGACGATGGTGGGGGGATATCGCTAGAGGACTACCAGCATTTCATGGAAGCCATGCCCGAGTCGCATCAGGCAGGAGCAAACAGCGACGATGGGGACCCCTCGCTGGATGAGGGAGGCACGATAGAAGACATGTTTGGCTTCGGGCCAGTCCATCCATCCTATGTCACATACAACGCTTTCGACATGTTTGCAGGCTCCAGCATACCTCAGCACCACACATCCACTACACACTTCATTGCGCCGGTCACCATAGCAGGCAACCTGCCATACGGTACTGACTTATTACTTGAGCCACCGCCAACACTCAACGAACCGCACCTGAGTATACAGGACCGGGCGGCCTTCTGCCCCATTACGTCCTATTTCCACCGCTTCTACGGGCAGTGGAAGCCCGGTGTTGTGCCTGGTCTGGATCTCATCCAGCTGCCGGATTTCATTACCCGAGAAGATCTCAAGGGTGATGAGTATGATTATCAGGGAATAGATTGGACCACCCGGAAGACTACTAGGGCTTCGGTACGGAGAGCAAGGTCGCAACATGAGCGTCAGCGGGTGCCTCATAGTGTGAAGCAGGTTCGCAAGGTATGCATAGTACGAAGAAGCGTTTTCTTGCTCCAGCTACTCCACACCCTGAAGAGATTACTGCGTTCTACAAGCCCGAATGAGGAACAAGATATAACATCTCTCCAGGGTGTAGTATAGCTATGGCACAGAAATGAGCTTCACATATAAGATCTATATCTTTGGCTAACCTCTCTTAGCACGTCCATTCAACACCCAACACGGACAGCTTCTTCCAGTTCCGAAGGATCAACACCAGCCCCCGTGCCTTTGTGCCTCACTTCCAGCTGCGGAATGTTCTGACGGCCACATCTCGCAATGATATCTACTATGCAAAAGGTCACCAAGTACTCCACACAGACGCAGAAGGCACATCCGAAGACGCCGTCGTTGACCTCAGCAAACACCTGGCTCTCGATGCATCGATTACCACTATCGCTTCCCACGGCGACGTACTCATCGCCGGTGCTTTCGAAGGCGAGTACGCCATCACCAACCTCTCCTCAACCCACGGCTCGCCCTGCACATTCGGCCGCACCACCGACTTTGCGACCGACACAAAATCACGCATAGTTAATCACATGCACCTCTTTCCCTCACGGCGAACCTACACCCCACAAGCCGTCCTCTGTTCCAACGATCACCGGCTCCGTGTGCTCGACTGCGGCACCAACACCTTCGTCCACTCGTTCCTCTACCCCGCAGCCGTCAACTGCTCGGCTACCAGTCCAAATGGACGCATGCGCGTCGTCGTCGGCGATTTCCAAGAAACTCTCATCACAAACGCCGAAACCGGTCAGCCCTTCGAAACGCTAAACTCGCACACTGACGACGCCTTCGCCTGTGCCTGGGCCGACGACGGCATCCACGTCGCAACCGCCGCACAGGACTCCACCATCGTCGTCTGGGACGCACGCTACTGGGAGAAGCCCCTCGCCGTCATGAAGAGCGAACTCAGTGTCCCGCGTTCTCTTCACTTCTCGCCCATCGGCTCCGGCCCGCGTGTTCTTGTTGCCGCCGAAGCAGATGACTTCATCAACGTCATTAACGCGCAGACCTGGGAGTCAAAGCAAACGTTCGATTTCTTCGGCCCCGCGGGTGGTGTTTCGTTCACACCTGATGGACAGTCTCTTTTCGTTGCGAATGGAGAGAGGCGATTTGGCGGTATCATCGAGCTTGAACGCACAGGTTGGGCGGACAAGACAGGGAGGAGGGGTAGTTTCGATGACGAGATCCGCGATGAGATTGTTGTGGATTGGGTGGGTGATGAGGCGCTGGACAGCGATGGAAGGGTCCTAGCAGGAGATGTGGCTAGAAGGAGAAGACATGTGGATTTGAGTGATGTTATCGTATAACGTCGCTTTGTAGATGTGAACCAGCTATTTGGTATCTTGGGTGGGAAAGAATCTTTTGGCGTTTTTCTTTATTCAGAGATGGATGGATGGACTGGGAAGATACCACGGATTGGGCGGTCATGGATGGGTATTTAATCTAACATCGTAATTATCACCAGCATCTTACACTCGTGTTGGCCAGCTGTCAGTTCAACTTACTCATGAGAACCTGATGACGGGCCTGTGAGTTCGATAAATGCACAACTGCTTGCTTGATCAATGTGGTATCATATTCTTTTTTTGCTAGCTAAAATCCTCCAAGATACACATGCTTAGTTGCATCATCGGCCAGCCTTGCCACATTCCGTGCCTAGCAAATCCCCTTCTCTCGTAATCGCCGCAACGCCTGGAAATTCGATTTTGCTGAATGACCCACATAACGCCATCAAATGCATTGTTTGCGTTTCGTCCCTGCACGACAAGCTTAGACGAGCAGAACAGCGTTCAAGCAACCGTCATTTTCGGGGTTATCTAGAGTTAGAGGTACCAAGTCAGCTATGTCTCACATGCACTTCGTACAGTCAGAACTTACTGGTAATTTGTGCATACCGACCCCAAACGACCTTTCCTCCAGCGGTCACAAGACCGAGTTCAGATACGTTTACTTCGATGATCTAAGGTACGAAGTCAGTATATGTCTCACATGCACTTCGTACAGCCAGGACTTACTGTTCCCTTGGTTAGGACACCGAGCTGGGTGTACATGGGCTGAGGTGCGAAGTCAGTATATGTCTCACATGCACTTCGTACAGTTAGAACCTACCTGTTGGGGGTTCTTCTTTACTGAAATAATCGGTAATTGGACCGTGACGTTCAGCTCAGGATGCGTAACGTTGGCCTTCTTGTAACGGAGACCCATGGGTCGGATGAAGCGCTCGTATTTGACGGGGCGACGGGTGAATCCTGGTCCAACGAATGTAGGTTTGGTGATCTGCAGAGGTGGAGGTACGAAGTCAGCATTTGTCTCACATGCACTTCGTACACTAAGGACTGACCATTCGCTTCCAGCTCTTCTTCTTGGTCTTCTTTCCCGTCTTAACAACTGAGAACATCTCTTCCTCAGAGATACCCTTGACTTTGGGAAGGGGGACGGAGAACCGAGCGGCCTTCTCGTTACGCTTCTGCTTGATCGCTGAGGATAGGGCTTTGGCGTTCTTCTCGTTGCTACGGTCGAGGAGGTAGGCGGGGAGGGCGTCGGTGGCTGGCTCGGGCGCCTCGTTGGATTTGACGTTCCTCTCCTCGTGTGCGCGAATCTTCTGCTTCATCTGAATCTTCTCCTTGCGACGCTTCTCAGCGTAGAGCTTGGCCCTCAGACCACGGAAGTTTTGCGCCTTCTTCGAGGCATTGTGTCCCTCACGGGCAATCTTCTTCCGTTGACGTTCGTCATGATCGAAGCGCTTTCCGTGCCTGGTAAGAGTTAGTTATGTGTTTTTGGTGTTGAGATGTGAAGCGCAAAGCGCAAATCGCGAATCGCGACGCAGGATTGGTGCTGAGGGAGATGTCGCAGGTGCGAGACGCAGGATCGGTGTGACGTACTGCTTCGTAAAGCGCTCGATGTACTCGTTCTGAGGCATGGCGGCGACTCCCTCTGTGTATGCTGTAAGGGTGGTGGTAGTGGAGTGGAGTCTCTTCCACCAGCCGCCTTGCCTCCAAAAAGTTCGGCACTAGCCCCCACTAGCGCGATGCGGGATTCTTCAACATCGGACTCCCGCAACACCAAAGATACTGATCTCAGCAGCCGCCCCAGCCATTGCATCCCACAAACCCCAGTAATGGCTCTATTCGCCCGCTCCGCACGCCATGCGCTCTTCGAATCGAGAGCGATCATCCAACCGACGATCCGCCGCGCAGGCATAACAACCGTATCGCACAACCTCGACACATCGAATACGCCCGAACCGCTCATTCAGTCCGGCCACCGCATATCAGATGAAGCCAAAGAGCGCGCTCAAACACCACAGCCTCTCCCCAAAGACGCCCCAGCCCCCGCTTCCACAAACGACATCAAAGCCTCACCAAACGCCCGCTCAGACATCCTCTCGCAAACCCTCACACCCTCCATCCGCAAGCTCCTTCCTCTCCTACAATCACAGCCGGCACATTACATAACCGCACATCTACATGGCCGCCCATATCTTCTCACCCGCGGAGACACGCTTCGCCTCCCCTTCCAAATGCCACATGTACGACCAGGCGATGTTCTGCGTCTGAACCGCGCTACACACATTGGATCGCGCGACTACACGTTAAAAGCCCCAGAGCCCGTCAAGGGAAATGCGGATCGTGGGAAGAAGGTGTTTTATCTGGACGAGCGGTTATTCACATGCAGAGCGCGGGTTGTGGGTGTGGAGACTGAGCCGTTGAGGGTAGAGGAGAAGACCAAGAGGAGACGGAGACATGTCAAGCATGTTATGAGCAAACAGTACTTCACAGTCTTGAAGATTAGTGATTTGGAAGTTAAGAGTCTGGAGGAGTATGAGGCTGTGTTGGGGCAAGAGGGTAAGGAGAGTGTACAATAGTGGTGGCGTCGAGAGGCGGGATGCGTCTTTGAATGTGTCATATGTATCGATAACACGAGCATGTCAGCCTCGGGGCTGTTACGTGATTGCGATATCTCAGGAATGGGAGTACGATATCATGCTCGTATTCATGTCTAAGTGTACATTGGGTATATGCGATCCCGGACGCCATTTATGCTTGCCTACTCATCATCGCTGCTGTTAATATCGATCTGACACTAGTGCACCACCTGCGCTGCATAGAAGTCGGGATATTGGTTCTGGATCATCGAGGTGACCTTCTCCACCTCCTCTGCCAGGCCTGTGACGTTGGCATCCCACTTCCGTAGCTCCTTGCCAACAACGCGCTCTGCGTGTCCTGTCTTGCGCTCGCCACTGGCCTCGCCCTCGAAGAAGACATATCGGTCAATCTGGTCGATGTAACCGGCAAGTCGGCCTTGCTCCAACATCTTTGCCGCGTAGTCCTCGGCCTTCTCAGCGTCGATGCCCAGTAGTTCACCCAGCTGATCAAATCCGATGTTGTTGTAGAGCTTCGATGCGCCGAGCAAGTTGTGTTCCAGGATAGCCTTGTCGAGCACAGTCAAGCCATCAGCGGCCCGGGCGAGATGGTGAGGTTCGAGCTTGGCGGAGAAGGCGTTGATCTCGGCAGGTGTGAGGAGGCGGTTCAAGAAGATCTTCTCGAGGATGGCGTAGTCGTCGGCGGAACTGGCTCGGTCGTCCTTGTACAGCTTCGCCAACATCTTACCTCGTTGCGGACCAGCAGGAGCGAGGACTGCACAGATGATTGCTTTCCCAAGGAAGTTGTCGCGCTCTTCAGAGTCCACAACTGGCTCGTTACTCAAGGTGTAGTATCCCTGCGCGGCATCAAGGAAGGACCGTTGCGAGTCGAGAATGCGGGCTTGACTCAATTGGAACATGACCTTGGTGGTCTTGTCTTGTACGTTGTAGATGATGTTCTTGATCTTGTTCAGATGTGTGAAGGCGCTCGTCGGATCGTCTTCCTCCAAGTAACACCGCACTATCCGGATCCAGACCTGCGCCTTATCGTCCGCGGAGACAGACTTTTGTGTTGACTCAAGGTTTATGGTCGCGAGCGTCTGCGCTGACCGTCTGAAGTCCTCGTTCTGCTCGAACGCATCCGCCAGAGCATGCTTGATCTGAGTGTCCTGCTCCTCATACTGGCCCGCGCCCTTGGACTGTAATAGTGTGATGACCTTCTCTCCAACTTCAATCCTGGCGTCTGCGTCCTTGACAGTCCGGAAAGCATCTACGAAAGCAGCGAGGAGCGGTCGCAGAACGACTATACCGAGCGAGTCATCGAGGAGAGTTTGTGCGTATGCGTTCAGATCGGCAGCGACATTGGTGGATGATTCTATGATCTGCTGGAGGAGAGCAGTGTACTGAGAGGGCTTTTCGCTGGCCGGTGCCGCCTCAATCTGCTGTAAAGCCGAGGTGACAGCTTGTGAAGCCATTGCGGGGGTGTTTGGATGAGCTGGGTTGGTTGAGAAGACGTTTAGGGCTCGACCTTGAACGTTATAAGAGAATGGATGGCGAGGACAAGAGGATCACTCGATAGCTGCAATCGAGATTCGGTCGTGCCTGTTGGTTGTTGATAGGCAGCAGACGTGGGGCAAGCGCGACCTCTCCAGAGCTGCATTATCGATAAGGACTTGGCACGCTAGTGCAGAAGCGCGTCGGGGAAGAGCGCGCCCCAGTCCAGTCGATCTTTCATCATCTCTACCAACTCACCCCAGGCAGCAACACACACACACTCGCTACCATGAACGGCATCAAGACAGAAGCTGGAATCAAGGCGGAAGGCGACATAGGTTTCATGGACGATGACTTCTACGAGGACACCGGCGAGATGAGCATCAATAAGGACAATCCTCAACAGGATGTCTGGCTCACGCGTATTCCAGACTGGCTCTACGAGGCAGTGTCTAAGTGGGAAAACGTCGCCGACGGCAACGACAACGATCAGATACAGATCGGTGAAGTCCTCGCATTCGCGACGACGAGCGGCATCGACAAGGACAAGCCTATGCGCGTCTTCCTCGACGATCGTTGGCGCGCAAAGTCCAACTTACCCTCCGCCTTCCAACTCGATCCTGCAGCCGCTTCCGAAGCGCAACTGGGTAACACATACATCTTTACAGAGAAGGATCTGCCAGGGTTCAAGGGACAAGGCTTCGGCTATGGGAGAGGCCACGGAGGCTATGGTGGTGGTGTACAAGATCCGAATGCGCGCGTCCAAAAACGGAGCAAGTACAAGAAGGCGATCCCCAAACAGACTGCCCTCGTCGGCCACGCGACACGGCAGTATAACGCGAATCCTCTCGAAACCAAAGAGTTCAAGGACTTCAGCGCCGCACGCATCAAGCAAGCCATTCAAGGCTCCTACACCACCACCATCATCACGAAAGACACCGAAGTCTCTGACGTCAACAACTCCATCACCCTCAACAACCGCTTCAAGAACTTCATCAAGCCCACGACCAAGGCCAAGTCACAGCAGAACAAGGCGGCTCGTATGGCTCGTTCCGACCTCATCGATGTACTGCACCAGCTGTTCGACGAATACCAGTACTGGCCGATGAAGGCTATCAAACAGCGCACAAAACAACCAGAGCAGTATCTCAAGGAGGTGCTTGGCGACATTGCGCTGCTTGTCAAGTCTGGGCCCTTTGCGAGCAACTGGAAGCGGCAGGCCGTCTTCGACAACCAACGCGATACTAGTAAGCAAGCAGAGGCAGCTGCGCCAGAGGGTCCGGGTGATGGCGACTCAGAGGGCGAGGACGAGATGGAGGATGTAGTGTAGAAGACTGTGGTGGGATGGGGTGGTTGATCAAATTGTTGCGTTGGCGATACCCAGTCCGTGAAGGAACACACACGGCGCCATAGAAAGGAGCTTCATCATTTTCAGGTTTATTATACTGCATGCTCCCTCGAGAATGAACAGTATTAATGTGTTGCAGCATGTCAGCGTACAACAGCGTATGCGATCAGAGTGTGAGGTCCTATCAACTGATCGTCGTGGCAATGACGGCATCTTAGCGACTAACGTCCATGACTCAAGCGGACCTGGCCGACCCGCTCATCTCACAATCTAACGGTCATTCCGACTCCGCCTTCTAACTCCATCGCTTTTCAATTTGTACATATGTTATCCTTTTGATACACTCTCTTCATTGTTGACATACGCTCGGGCTTCCAATTGCTCGCACCAAGAAGTGGCGAAAAACTTTGCATGACCTCCATCCTCCTGGAATTGCACGCCAAAAAGGTGTCATGACACCACAAAAGCAAGAGCAGAGCCACTGGTTGGACAAATACGCATCAAACTATGCCCAGTGGAAGCTGTCAGAAGATGCAGATGGCACCCAGCTGTTCAAGCGTCCTCTCGGGCTAGTGGAGACTTCTTTTGACTCTGATGGCGCGTATTACGGTGGCCGGGCAGGTATGTAGGATGTTTAGAATATGTTATACTCATTTCTCAATTGCCTAAAGAGAGGTATCCTTGTCATATCGAGCATGGTTGGAACGCGACTGACCGTATGACAGATATGACGGCCCTCTTCACATTAGCAGTCCAACACAAGCTCTCGAAGTCAGAGCTGAGGCGCAAGATAGCGCTTGCCTGGACTTCTCTTCGCCTTCAGCACCCTTTACTCCTGTCTCGAGTGGTCGATGATCAAGAAACAGGAAGACGAGCCTTTGCCGTCGATGTACCCACTTCTCAAGATTCTGCCATTCAAGATGTCGAGAAGAGTATCGTTTGGATCGAAGAATCGTATGAGAAAGTCGATGAAAAAGAGTTGTACCACCACGCCTACAACGTAACTCGCATCATTGAACCTACGAAATGTCTATCGAAGTTCCATGTCCTGCCTTTGCGACAACTCCCAGACGGGACATATGAGCTACACTTCCTCATTGTGATCGCGCACCAGATATCCGATGGTCTATCCGCGTACAGCTGGTTCAGCCATTTCGTTCGCATTTTCAACCAACCATCCCAGGACATCTTAGCAGAGATTGAATCGGTTCGTCAACCTCAGAAGATCAAAACAGTCCTGCCAGCCGCCCAGGAAGACCTATACCCACCGATTGCAGGCAACAAAGCGAGACAGCGCTGGTTCTGGGCGCTCATCAGAGTATTGCGGCATGTGAAGAAAGGAGGACTACCACCCACCTTTACGAATCCGCTGCGGAGAGAGAAGAGGTTGGAGGAGCCAGTACCACTCGAACCCAAGTTCAACAAGATACTCGACTATAGCCCTTCGACTCGCCCTCCAATGTCCTGTGGACATGTATCCGCATCCCTTTCGCCCGCCGCCTCAGCACGTCTGATATCCCTATGCCGCTCCGCAAACGTCAGTATAGGAGCCGGATGTTTCGCCCTCGCCGGCCTAGCAATGATGGCAATCCACGAAAAGCGATCTCCATCAACCAACCACCCGCCATTTACAGCCTCCTTCCCACTAAACCCCCGCGCCTTCTTCGTGAACCCGCCTCCGCCCGACTCATGCATGCTAGCCTTTAGCGAAGGCATAGTAATGCCCTTCTTATCCTCCCACCTGCCCATAGAAGGACGCTTCAAGCTGGTAGCAAAGCATGCGAACCGCGAGTTACGAGTCTACCAGAAACGTCTCAAGGGAAAAGGAAAGACGGGTACAGCAGGTATACTGGATAAAGGCTCACCAGGCCGCCTCCTCGCAACAGGCTACGTCGCGCAGATCGAACGCGTCGAAGCGAAACTCCCACCGTCGCGTCGCTCACCTTCTTTCCAGAACCCACAAGGCTCTCTAGCACCTAGCACAGCAGGCTTCGGAGCGACATGCGGTGTCTCTTCCATCGGCCCTCTAGCTGCGTTCTTCAAGCGTGGGACGTATGACGTTCAGAATCTTGGGGACAAGGACTTCGCAGCGGACTTCCGCGATGTGAAGATTGGGGTTCGAGCGAGGGAGGACGAGTTTCTGGTTGGCAGCTCGACTAGTGCGGAGGGGATTGTGGGATTTGGCGTCAGCTATGATATCAACGCTATTAGTGCTGAGGCGGCGGAGGTGTGGAGGGAGACTATTGAGGGGTTGTTGGAGGGAAGGGAGGTGGCAAGACTGTAGATGATAGATCAAGTGGCCACAAAATTCAGCAGTCGAAGAGAAGCTGACATGCATATTGTATGGTCATTCATGTATGAAAGGCGCATTGAGGCTGCGCAGGCTCGTGGTTCGCTACCGCATTCCCGTGAACAGCCAACATGGTGGGCAGTGCTTTTCCAACCCGCTTGACTACAGCTCATATTGCGCCTTGACGTCTTTAAAGAAATCAGTCTCTGGACAGTTAAGTTCGACCTTTTCTGACCACTCCTTCCGCCATTCTGCTTCGGTCCAGTCTTTCCTCTCGAAGAACATGACATCCGCATCCCACACCTCGCCTACGGGCCCCGTGAATCGTATATTCGATGTGCCATCCACGATACCACGTACAGCCTGGGAGAAACCTGCTGGCAGTTGCCACGCAAGTGAGACGGTGTGGCGAGCATTGGGATCGCGGATCCATGGGGTAGGCTGCACGCCGTTACGCTTTGCTTGAGTGAGCATAACTTCCTGCATGGCAGCGGCATACTTCATGATCTCGAAAGCGTGAACTGCCTCTCTTGTACTGCCATCAATGATGAGCTGATAGGCATCAAAAGGCATGCCGTTAGTGAACAATGATATGGTCTCATTGATCCAAGGTACAAACATAATGAGACAGGTGTAGCCCATTATATATGAATCGCCGTCGTCAATTCCCCATGGTGTGATCTCCGGAAGGAGATTCTGGAAAAGCCCAATTTTGTGCTCGATGCGTAAAGCCGGATTGCTCTTGCAGAAGGCTATTAGCCCTCGCATATGACATGCAGGACGAAGCATAGACATACGATCCTCGATAAGGACGATCTTTCGAAGGTGCAATAGCTGCTCTGATGGTATTTTATGTACTAGAAGGTAGCTTAGTATAGAGACGCTACGAAGCACTGGCATGCAGTCAAGGCACCACAGTCGACTTGATCAGCCCGAAGAAAACATCGGCGACCTACAGCAATGAAAGGAGGGTTACTTACGGTAATCAATAGCTACCGCAGCCGCGGCGAAGTAGCACCTGAACTTGCTCACGGATGAGTGGTAGACCTCCGGATCGACAGCACGAGCTGGTTTAGGATCTGTCTGGTTGCAGAGAAGGGTTTCCATGCGCGAGAGATCGGCATCCTCGGGTATCCACCATGGATCAGGCCTCCACGAGAGCAGCTCTCCTAACGACCCTTTGAGGAAGATATTGTCTTGATCCCGCCAGGACCCGACAGGACATAGTCCATGGCCAAACACTCCGTCTGTGAGCTCCTTGAACCTTTCTGGGTTGCGAGTATTGGCGCGATTCAGGGCAAACAATAGCGCATCGATACATGCTTGGAAGACAACATCGTTCCTCCGTATGGGCGCCATCCTATAGTCGAGAATATCGCGCCGTCGAGCGACCGCTTGCGGTAACGAGTCGCGGAAATACAGTCCCATGTTTGGATAACGCGCCTCTATGTCGTCAAAGTCGGAAGCTTGTAACAAGCCGGCTGCGCAAATCAACATTCGTTGTCTATGTATCTGAATAAGGTCTGTCACTGGAGAAAAGTCGTTAGCGAGACTTGTAAACAGGAGTACGATGCAGAGCTTACAGCAATAAAGCCGAGCGACCCTTGAGCGAAGGCCCATGAATTCTGGCCCGTCGTAGGCAGAGCACCGTGTACTAAACACGGCTTTCTGGAAAGCGACTTGATTCATTTCTTCCGCGGCAATCTTACAAGTCACTACTAGACCGAGGTTTTCTGCACGCGCAGCTGCATCTTGATAGCGCAACTGATTTGTTTCCTTATTGTACTCGTAAGATCGCCTCTTCTCTGCATAGTATTCGTAGATTTGGTCGCGGAGTTCTCGAGGTAGACGAAATAACGGAGACTGTAGCTGCGTCGAGTAGGTGTTCGACAACTCGGCTGTAGCCATCGATGGAGTTATACACCGGTGAGTAGAGTTGTTTTTCGACATGTCTGAGTATGCAGATAGCATACAAGACATGAGTGGTGATTGTAGTAATGGAATTTTATACAGTTGGGGATGACTCTTTCTCTTGTGGAATTCCGTGGATGGTCACACTCGACATACTCACTAGCGGTTCGCGCTGGCTGGGAGAACCAGAAACGCAGTAGTGGTGACTCACTTGCAGGACTGCATCCGGCAGTTAAATGAACAACAAGACTCACCGGGTAACATTACAAGTTGAACCAACATAATCTGTTGAGAAGACACAGAGGCGCAGGAATGGTGAGTCAGTAGCAGGCGTGGTAACTGCGAGCCGGTCTTCTGTAGACCTTAGAAGCTATGAAACTCTGACTCATACTTCTCGAACCATGTGCATTATAGTAGCTCGGGAAAGATACGCATTTGCGGCCAGTGAGGCATGTTCTCTGACTTCGTAGGTAATTGTACGAGGCATGGGCGACATCCGCGCAGGAATGCTAACTTTGGTTAGCGCGTGCCGATATTGATGACGCAATGCGTAGCTAACAGGGGCTGTCGCGAAAGTCATTCGCGCCGCGATATCGTGCAGGTTCATCCTCATATCTATCGCATATTTAGAAGTCTGTTTGAATCTCATTCGATTCAACAAGCCATATATCAAGTTATGTGTCTCTTGACTGCATCGTTACTCGGCCCTACCTAGTTACTCAGGCATTAAGAGTACCTACATAGGTAGGTAGCACAAATACTCGATGTCTAACTTCCCTAGGCAGTTTCCCCTACCTCCCGAGGTCCTCTTCTCTGTCTTTCGCGCTCGAGCCTGAGGGTCTCTTCGCCAGAAGACCTCTCAGTGGTTTCTAAGGAAACGCCTCGATCTTAGAAATAACAACGCCTGGCAAACGCATATTTATCCGTCGGATCAGATCCTCGTTCCACCGGCCATGGCTGTCCCGTATCTCAATCATTTCTAAGCCCCTTAAAGAGGCCATATCGTCCTCTAGTCCCATGACTATACTCCCCACAGCTGTCCTAAGTTGCATCCTCTTAATAGCCTGTAGTTGCTTCTGGCCGGTGTGATGAAGTAGCTTCCATGCATTGGAACTAAAACCCGTCACAGCAAAGACGTTGAGAGTGTAGGGCAGCATAGCGGTCTCTGTGTTGATCTGCGAGCAGCTTCCAAGGAGGGCGAGAAGATGTCGCTTGTGGCCGGCTCGGTCCCTCATCGCTGTTCTTATCATCTCTATCGGATGATCCATACGTAACACATACTCGTAGATGATGTTACGAAGCTCAGGTGGAAGACGGAGGAGAGGGGAGTTTGCCTGGTTCTCTTGGGTTCTGTCAGACTGTAAGTAAGTTGTAGCGGATGTGCGAACTCTTGAACTCACCGACGTATGCGCTCAGCATGCGAAGTACTCAGGCGGATTATGTCCTGAAGCTCTCCTGAATCCTCCATGAAACTTCCGTTGGTTTGATTTGGTTGGTTGAGTCTATTGGATGTATTGATTGCCGACCAAGGTATGGTAAGGTGTTCTCGATGAAGGTAGAAGCCAGAAGACTGGAATGTTAATAGGCTAATGAGGGGCTAGGTGTGCACGGATACATGATAGTCACAAGCAATTTGCAATCCCAAGGATTGACATAACACACTAGTCTATCGGAATGCACGAGGTAAGCCCACCTCACCGAACGCAGCCAAGATGATTGACCTGGCTCTCCAACCAGTGCTATGACCACGGCAGAGGTTTCAATGTGTATGGCGACACAACTATAACCTCGATCTCACCTGCCTGGCCTTTTGCAACTGCAGCTTCCGCTTCTTTCACACGAGCAAACTCCTTCTTGGTGCTCCATAGACCCCTAAGCTCTCCCATATACAGTTTCTTCAACCCCTTGCATCTACCCAGGCTCCTAAGCACCATCTTCAGAGCCTCGCTTCCGCTCTGAAACGCGCCCCAACTTATATCAACCATAATCATCGTCATGGCTTCGAGCTGAGCATGTTTGCGTGAAGCGACAAAGCGATCGAGTTCAAAGACGTTGTTAAAGGAAAACAAGTTCTCGGAGTATACTAGAGTAGCTGTTTCGGAGTAAATTTGACGACAGACGCGCGGTAGGGCGATGTTGGCAGGTGTTGACCGGAAGACGTCGTTATCGCTGTTGAGGTGGCGCCATTCGCGGGTGCTTCCGTGCCTAAACATGGGTGTACGAAGTCAGTGAATGTCTCACATCGTACAGTAATATCTCTTACCAACGGTGTATATACCGGCCGCCTCCCAAAGCATACCTGAAGATCTTGTTTCGAAGTTCGGCGGGAAGACGGAGAAGGGGAGACTGTTGCGTGTTGGACTTGACGCTTTGGGTACTATTAGTTGTATGCAACTCTTCTGCTTCATAAGGGCTCACATGGGGACGAGGTCTTTTGGTGTTTTCCGCAAGGAGACGAGACCGCCGCGAGTACGATAGACGCGCTTGGAAGACTCCGTGATCGGTTTGGCAGGACGCTTGCGCATGTTGTAGCGCGCTTCAGGGACTGGCTGGGTAGCCTCTTCTGGGAGCTTGGGCTTGTTCATAGTGGTGGCAGTTCTAAGTTGAGACACTGAATAGTGATTCCCAAGTCAAGTCAAAAGGAGCCGAGCTGAAGTATCAAGGGGGCTTCTTGAGTACGTCAGCTGATGTACTCTAGTAGGGTGGGTCATTCATCGTGCAGTGAGGTAGCCATAGACACAGAAGCATGTGTCAATGCATCGTAGTGAATAGTTGCCGCACTTAGCACCGTCTAAGCTCATTCAAACCACTAGTCGCTTCAGCTCTTATTCAAAAGTTTGACCTCCTTCTTACCTCACTTTCTCCACTACCTGACACAATTCCCTGAACATACACCGAGCCGTTCGGTCAAAAACCCAACTAAAGTAACTCCAATCGAACGATAAGTACCACAGGCGCAAGACTAACCATGGTTTCTCAAACGCACAAGAAGTGTGATCAAGCAAGCGCCTTAAGTAATAAGATGCCAGCCGAAGAGCGAAAAGAGGATGGCTTATTGGATCTTTCACAAACGCCAGACAATCTTGTGACGATGTAAGTGAAGACCTCAACGATCCTCATTCCCCTCTGACAGTATCCAGTGCCCAAGACAACAGTGTGAACTCTCCTCTCCTGCGACTACCAGCCGAACTCCGCACAAAGATATGGCACTACGCACTTGGCGGTATAACCGTGTACCCCAACCTCAAACGACTGAGATATCGCAATTACGGCTCTACATCAACGCGTCTCTTCAAAAGCAATCTAGGGCAGCTTAGCCTCCCTCGCACCTGCCGACAAATCTACTCCGAGGCCGCTCTGGTCTTCTACCACGAGAATACGTTTGCTTTCCACGATTACAAAGCCTTCAAGCGTTTTCGAGATCGAATCCGAAATGCCCACTTCGCGATGATACGATCCATTTCCGTGAGGACCATTGGCGCTCTTCTGACGTTTCAAAAAGAACTCATGGAGGCTGACAGGTCTCAAGCCTCCTATCGATACTCCCACAATCTTAAGGAAGAGTTTCTAAACTACTACGATCCTATGGAACAGGATCTGCGATGGATCATACGACTGGTAATTCCTGGTCTACTGTCAACATTTCCCAATTTACATAAAATCTTGATTGCGTGTTCTTGTCATGCGAATGGGATTCAGGGGGAATGCAGTTTTGATACTCGAGTTTCGTGGGCGCCATTTCATAGAGAGGGAGTCGAAGTTGCGTTCCGTGAGTAGAGGCGACTCGGTGTAGATTGTGGGGGCAGAACTCGATGGCTTCATGCGGAAACAACCAAGAGATCACTGTACACGTTTGGGTGATGAAGAAAATCGAGAGCGAAACGATTGGGGAGGATATGGCGGCTCAAGACTAGCTCAACGAACTCTCCATCCAATACACACACTCTTCTCTTGGCTGCTCATTTTTACCCCGCCTGTGTACGCAACGCATTACACCTAAGTTTTGCTGTCTCTTCACTTTGTCCAGGGAAGACCCAGCTTCTTCATCTCCACCGCTAATTGCAGAATATAATCGATACTCTCGCACTGCGTTTTCGCCTTGTGTACGTTATCGCCCCACACGTAAATGCCGTGTCTCTTGACAAGAATCGCGTACGAATCGGGGTATTTCTCCATCGCCTCCTCCAAACTCTCCCTCAAATCCTCTTCGTGCGCAGTATTCTCGATGATGGGTATACGCAGACGGTCATAGTAACCTAGGTTACCCTGCTTCCCTCTTCCTTTCGGTATGCCCTTGATCTGTTCTATCTCTTCGATCTCAAAGCACGCGTCTTTTCCAAAATCGCGCTCGACGAGGAGGGTCACGAGAACGGCCCATTGTGAGTGTGTATGGATGCAGCAGCCGGCGCCGCGTTCGAAGGCCGCAAGGAAGAGCGGCGTGCACGCTGAGGGTTTGAGGACCTAAAATCTTCTTAGCTGTATTTCCCATAGTCCAATCTCGCGCGATATACCTGTGGTCTCCTCAAGTACTCCTTGCTGTTGAAGTCCATAACAAACATATCGGTAGGCTTCATGAGCTCTTTCTGTACGCCGCTGGGCGCAATGTATATCTTGTCTTCATGGCGTATGCTCGTTCCTCCGCCAGTGCCTGTCACCTGGCGGAATCTCCGTGTTAGCCATCACTCGATCGTGTCTTCATCCGCGTCCCCCCGACGCCTGGAGATCATCGTACCCAGCCCAAGCTGTAAAACTTTGCGCAGAGCGTGCAGATGTGGTTCGCGGGGTGACTTGGGTCATCGGAGTGCACGAGGGCCTCGGCATCATGTTCGCTGGAACTCATTGTGATGTTGCGCAAAGGTGTTGTCGAAGGGTGAAGTTTGGTGGATTTTCTGGAGCCCAATGACGCGACTTGCGATCGCGACTACCCCACGTGGTCCGCGCTAGTGTGCATCCCACCATAGTCAGGCACAATGCAGACATTAATCCAGGTAGGTCATACAAAACTCAAGGACATGGTTGAAAGAGTGTCTGTGTCTATTAATTACCAAACAGAAAAGAAGGCTGTCTCATAGTCGAGACCATAGCCTGAGGTATCATCGATGTCCAACGCTCATACCACTACCAATCCTCCAGGAAAGTCGCTTGACTTGGGTATCATATCTAGTTTGTAGTCGTGTTTTGCGCCAAAGGAGAGGGCTCATGTTCCTTCTTCTTATCCAAATGAAGTACTTCCTTGACCTTGTCGCCCAGTCCCTTGCGATCGGGAGATTGGCTGTGCCCGCCGTGCTTCTCCTTGTAGACGTTTCCGGCTCCACCTCGCTACAGTAATGTCAGTCGAGTTTGATGTTACTCATATAACATGACGTACGCCGGTGTGGAACTCGTCTTGCGCGTTGCGCTGGTTAATCTCGGGAACCATGTCTACTGAGCGACGACCTTCGTCAGACTGCGGCCCAACGCGAGGTGACTTTCCGATGTTGCCAGCTCCCCCACGGCCAGTGGAGAAATCTCCATCGAGAGAGTCGCCTTGAACGCCCTCGCGAACCATGCCTCCATCAGTGTAGACGTTGGTGTCGGGGCCAATGTTGCCGGCGCCTGCGTCAGCGATCAGCTTTCCCTGTTCTTGCATATTGAAGTATCATGCAGGGCATACCTCCGCGGCCAGTTGAGTGGATTGGGGTAGTAGTCATTCTGATGGTTTAGCTTTCGCGATGATTGTGAAAACAAATGTTGTCTTGTTGAGATGACAAAGAATTGGTGTCAAGGATGTAGGATATGCTAGGGTGGTCGAACGGCAGGGCGAAGCGCGTTTTCAGGCTCTTATATTTGCTCGTCCAGTCCTACAAGCAGGCCATCTCAGAGTGACGCAATGACGCAATCGCATCTCCAGGTGCTCTAATCGATTGGCGACGCGGGATGGAAGTAGTTTCCGAGTTGGAAACAGGCGCCAGCAGGCTCATGGCTGCTAGTCGTCCAACTAAGACGACGAGCCAAGGAAAGATGCGAGCATGAGGTACAAATTTCGATGGTTTTGACTCTTCTCATCGTCCCGTGGGTGTGGTTTATGCGATGGCGTGAGGTGATCTTCAATGTTCGCGCGATAAGGCCGGGTGGATTGATTCGCCCAGCGACTGACTAAGCGGGCTGTATCCCACTGCTCGACATGGTGATTGCATTCTCACATGTCATCGCCGACATGGACACGGCTTGCTCGGAGGTTGGTGGAAGCTTTGGCGAGAGATGCGCTGCACGAGGATTGCTGGGATTTGTAGTCTTGGAGCTCTTGCCACCCCTAACGCAGGGGCAGGCGACGTGTGGTTCATCAGACTACGTCGGTACACAGATCTAGCATAGAACACACAGAAACCGCCTTTTGGCTTGTTACCCTGCACCTAAAGTTTTGATGTCCCAATGACGATCTCACATAATAGAATGATGGTTTTGATTTGGGCATGCCTTTTGGGCGAATATTGAATTATGATTATGCGGTACGAAGCGCTCTGACAATGTTGTTTATACAAAGATTGAGAATCAACAAAGGGGTATAATCATATCGAACATCTGATACTTCAAGATCTAAGGCCTTGCTCATCACTCGGCCTGGCTTGACCTTCCTCCGCGTTTCTAGCTTGCACTTTGTCTTGGTCTGCATGCTTGGCCGGATCAAAGACATAGATTGGGAACTCGAGGAAGATGGTTCTCTTTAGAATGACGGGCAGCTTGGCGTATAGCTGTGGCGGGAAAGGGATGAGAATGCTCGTTCGGTGGAGGTATTGCTCGTACTCGGGCCATCGGTTGCCTTTCTCGTATCTCTTCTTTGCGCCAGGTCGTTCCTGCAGCGTAAGACCGGATACGAACATGAGTAGCAGAGTCAGGAAGAATGGACCGAGAATGGACGCGTACAGAGCGTCATATGCACCGCCCGAGACGTAGTTGTTTGCAGCCGGGGATACAGCGATCGTGAAGATACCTGTCATAATCAGTTTTGGTCCAAAGAAGTTCAATGAGCAACACCTACCGAATTGGATGAGCATCTCGCCGAAGTAATTCGGGTGGCGCGTCCAAGCAAAGAACCCGACGTTGCAGACTGCGCCGTCGCTACCGTGAGCAGTACGGAACCTGTACTTCTGAACGTCGGAAACACTTTCCATGATGAAACCGATTGACCACAGGATGATGCCAGCGATATCACAACCTGTTCCAAAGTCTGGCTGATTGAATCGAGTGACTTTTGGCGAGTTCAGAATAGTGACCGGCATAGATACAGTCCAGACCCAGAACATTTGACTGTAACCCATCAGTAATGACACCCAGCTTACGTCTGTAGCTACTCACAACACCCAGAATCCGAGGAACGACCAGAACTTGTCCCTCTTATCGTCGAAACGATCATCTTTGCCAGTCTTGAGAATCCTGAAAAGAAGAAAGCCGCTCAACCTTGCCGCCCACAGCATGATAAACAGCGATACCACAATGTTGCGCGCATCGCCGCGGTTCTCGCTGCACGAAAGCGTGATAATCGCAAGAAGGATGAAGTTGGTGCCGCCGGCAAAATCAGTAAGTTTGTCGAATTTGAACGAGAAGG